CTGTAGTCCCAGCTACTCAGGAGGCTGAGGCAAGAGAATTGCCTAAGCCCAGGAGTTGAAGGTTGCTGTGAGCTGTGTAACGCCATGGCACTCTACTAAGGGTGTAACGCCATGGCACTCTACTAAACAAAACGAAAACCTTAATTTATTTGGGTTTGTATTTAAAGAGGTACTTACTTCCTCCATCACCCCAAGATACCTGCCTCAGTGCTTGGCATATAGAGGCCCTTATTTTTTGAAAAAAATGAATTTTTGACCACCCCAGTAGTACTAACACTGTACATAATTTGACTTGCTACATGGTGGTTGGCCTTTACAGATTGTCTCTTCATCAGTGTTCATCTCGCCTTCTGCTATGTCATATGCAAAATATAATCAGTTATTTCTTAGATGCTCTTTAATGATAAAGCCAAGAATATGCTCAAATATTCCTGAGCGAGACTCCAACAAGGGTGGGAGGCCAGGGTGTAAGAAAGTAAGTCACACGTAACTCCTGCCTTCAATCTAACTCTGCTGTCTTGGAGACACTGCTGTTGATCAAGTCTTCGGAAAAGAATCAGGTATGTTTTTAACTTAGTTGAGAAATGTGAAGGAGAATCTGAGAAATAGTCTATTTAACCTTTCAGACTTGGACATTCCTTTGCTGCATTGTTTAGAATTACAGAGAAGAATGGAGATCTGCAAGCATACTAGTACGTGCATTCTGCCTCCCACATGCTAGCCAGGAAACAAAATTAAGCACCAAGGAGATTCCAGGTGAGTAGTTAGTATTGTATTCTATTTACAATACTAATGGAAACCTTTGAGTAGAATATATTCTCACACTAAAAATATAGGCTTCAATAATGAGTTGCAAAACTCGGACATTAAAATAGCTATTGGAATTTGGAACCACATTTAATTGACCAATTATTTAGAAAAACATGAAAAATAAGCCATACCATTTTGAAAGGATTTGAATATATTATGATATTATGGACTGAGAAACTAGTTCAGGAATAAAAAATTTACATGCAGTCAAGAGATTTAGAATTATTTTCAAGGGTGTTCACTGGAAAATGAAGGTATTCAGAGCCACAACTATTGATGATTAAGCTAGAAGATTTCATGCCCATTGTAAGTACATGATTTAAGAAGAAAACAAGTGGATAAAGAAAATAAGTAATCAACCTATG